GAAATATTGAACCAACGTCAATTTCCTGGTGCAAACAAAGAAGAAACGCATAGCAACCTCCAGAACCCTACATATGCATGCTTCTTCAAACCGCGTAGGCGCCTCATTATAGCAAAGCTGCTTTCTGTACTTGCAGGAAATATCCGTCAGACAGCCGGCAGTGATTGCCAGCATTGTGCACGAAGGGAAGAGCTGCAGTGTCGCGGAAGGAGGTCCACCGGTCAAGAAACTCACAGAGTAGAAGGTAAGGCGAACAATAGATGTTCAGGTCGCAATGGATGTTAAATTCTTGTCTGTCCTTAAAATATTCGCAAGGCTTGCGTCAAGAAATTGTGTTAAAGCCAATTATGCTGTATCATGATCTAGCGCAACATGAAAAAAACATATCATACACATCAGTGACTTTGTTAAAGTGCAATTACGCCACAGGAAGATGTATTTTTTTTTAAATGCTTGTACGTCAGAAAAAGATTGTTTGAGCTTTGTGCTGCAGGCATCAACACGGTCCAGCGACTCTCGGCTCCCTCCGCTAGTGAACCGCGGCCATATTTGTTTGATTTGGTTACTCACGTAACCTGAGACGTATCCGAGCTCTACGTGCGGGAAAGCTCTGCCTCCAGCTATTTTCTCCACGGTTGGAATGAATCTTATCGTATATTTACAGGCAGTGCTGTAATATTAAGTGTCCGTTTGACCTCTGTTCCCGATCGTCAAACAGAAATTCTGTCACGATGAGTCATCTGTAGCCACTTACATACAACTCTGCAAAGAAAGCACTTAACAGGGATAAGATTAAGCTCGGTCTCGTCACTCAAACTTGAACAACAATTTATTCTTCGGATTTTTATTTGGTGCCGGGTTGACATTTGCACTTCTCCAGTATGCAGCTTCCCTGATACAAGGAATGAAAGCTGGAGCTGCTGGATAATTCATCACCACGGGCACGCGTAGTGTTTTATGTTTGTTACAGTCAAACCAGGGCTGGGTTCTAATCAGTTGTAGTTATACATTCTACGGATAGGATAGGATAGGATAGAAGATGTACATCCGTTAACAATAAGGCCAATTATATCATTCCGAGAGCTGCCACAGATCACAAATTATACTCATACACAAATTACACTACATGGACACATATTTTTTTCCCTGCTTATGCACCATTGATTACTGTCGCGACACTGAAGATTTGGCTGGTTTGCTGCTCACTTACTTACTGTTTATTCTGGCGTGAGATTACATGCCACTTTCATAGGTCAGTCAGCGTCTGGCAAGAGTGTTACAGGTCAACTAGCGAGTCATCTATCATATTTTGCCCTTCGTTTCTTATGACGTACATGTAACTACCTAATACACACACGTTTGCATTGCGAAAAAAGACATGAGGTAGAGGAAGGAAATTTATGTACTACGAGTAGTAAACATTCGGTCATGCAAACTCTTGGCTATTAATATTGCCTGGCGGAGCGAAGTCATCGGCCTTACAGTTAGGAACTATGTAGTGATGAAAAGCAGTTCAAGTTCCATTAAACCTCGTATTGATGGTCTAGAGACATATTGACTGAGCATCTACAATAGCTCACTGACTTGAAAGGAATCCAAGCAAAAGGAATATGAAAGAGACAACTGTTGCTCTTTACATATCTTGTAAGGACTATGACATACATTAAAAAACGATGGCTGCCGGAGAAAAAGATATGAATCAAATAAGAGACTGTATATATATTGTTTCCTGTTTTAACCTTTGGCAATTTTTTTATGAGTTATATTTTTATTCAGATCAGCCGTCCACACGCGGTCGGGTTCGTGCCTGGTACAGAGAATTTCATCCCAACAACAGGAGAGATGTCGATCGCCAGAAGCCGTCCTAGCATGTGGGCTGTTTTCAAAGCTAAATTTAAAAAGATCAGTGCACTGTGTGGTTTGAAATGCCAGGCACGGCTACGAGGCAGGCTGCAAATGTCAAACGGGTCCGCCGGACCTCCCCGAAGGAAACCTTTGATGTAGTGTCTGCGCAAGACAAGTAATTGCCTTTTCTCTCTCTATTCCTCACAGATTTGGAAAGCCCAGCAAGTGGTGACTCAAGAACGCCGACTGTTGCCGCGGTCGCAAGTGGGGGATCATCTCATAAACACTGCATCCGAAAACAAAACTGATAGATATTAATATCTTCATGTTAGACTTGGGAAAACAACAGTAACAAGACCAGAAGGTGTGCCAATCGTTGTTAATCAAGACTGTACATGAGAAGAGAAACTGTATACTCCAGTATCGTCAGTGGGCAGTGATTAAAACACTATGAAGAGGTAACCGGAGACGCGTACATGTGCGCACTGAAAAATGATGGCCAAGCAATTAACCCTCCAGCAAACGAAGACGCCTATCATCAGACAAAGGCGCTTTGGAACTGACGCACACAACACCTGTTGAGATATGCAAGATGTCGGGATAAATCGTTTACTGTACACTGCCTTCATTTTTTTGCTGTGATTAGAATCATGACTTATTGATGCCCAAATCATGTGTAAGGTTTCTGATAGAAGACTAGTGTAATGTTTCTTTTCCTGAGCAGAACGGAAATCATGGGCACGTAAAACCGTTGTAGATGTAGCAGATATAGGTGTGAAGTCTAGATAGTCATGTTTGCATTCATCTTTTGTTTCCACTGAGGTTTCTCATACACCAAAGACTGGATCAAGGTTAAAAAGCTCACAGTTGTTTACTGCCTAGTCTGTCGATAGTGTACGCTACGGACGGACTAACGCCCAGGGTACACTGAAGAGAAAGGTAGCCGCTGCGTACGGGAAGGGAAATAGGGGAGTCGGCATCTGTACCATTTCTCCGGGATTCCGGCGGCGTCCCGCCAATTAGTGACATATCAGTCAACAACGAGTCGACTGCAGCTCCGGGGATTATAGGTTAAACATTATGTACATACAGGGCACAGAAGCAGTACATCACTGAAGAAAGGACGCTCCGGTGGCTATCGTGCGCAGTGAGCTAAGGGTTTGTACCTACGTGTAAACCTGATAAGTACATCTATTTACGAAGTGCTGCATAAAGAGACAAGGTTACGCCATGGAAGCTATGAACCACACAGTCTTGGTGTCTGAAGTAAATGACTTTCTGCCCTTCCCAAATGTGACAAACAGAACCGCAACATACGACAGTTCTGTCGATGACGGGGCAAGTAGCACTTGGTTAATCTTTCAGCTCGTGGCGATGACAATAGTAGAAATCGTGGCTCTCTTCAGTAATGTCAGTGTGCTCATTGTCGTTATGAAGACGCCTCCTCTACACACATTGACGCTCCTCTTCGTCCTCAACCTTTGCACGACAGACCTACTACACTCGCTCTTTGTCACCCCGTTTTTCCTGGCGTCGTCGGGGCAAGGGGCCTGGACGTACGGAACGGTGGCATGTGACGTGACCGGATTCCTAGACTCGCTCTTCACGTATTCTTCGATCACTACGATTTGTGTGATCAGTGTGGAGCGCTACTACTCCATCGTACGTCCAATGGTGCACGCTGCCCACATGACCTTGGTCACAGCCCTATCGGTCATCGCATTCATATGGGTCCAGGCTATCTGCCTCGCGGTGGCGCCGTTGGTAGGATGGAATCATTACGTGTTCGACCTACGACAGACCCAGTGTACGTACGACTGGATAGCACAGGGGTCTGGGAAGTCTTACGTTATCGCGATATCGTGTTGGTACTTCTACATTCCAGCCTGCGTCGTCCTGGCCATGTATTCGTGCATCTATAGCGCTGCTATGAAAGCTTCGAGGCAGGTACTGCCTCAGCCAAGTCCACTGATGCCAGAAGGACAACCGGCATCAAGCCCAGTCCTCAATGGCAACACAAAGGTCCCAATGGATCTTGCGAACGGACAAAAAATCTTTGTTATCACCACAGCAGACGGTGAGGCGGGGCCATCAACAAGTGATGGTGGCGGTCGACGCAAAAGCTCCACGAACAAACAGGACCAAACCCAGAAGACCCACTCACAGATGAGCGAATCACTGAAAGCCACAAAAACCCTCATGCTCGTGGTCGGGGTGTTTCTTCTGACGTGGGGACCATACTTCACAGTCAGCACCATCGTGGCAATCCTTGGGATGTCTCCTCGGCTCAAACAAGCAATAGGCCCCCTGAAGTGTCTCGCTCACACTTCGTTCGCGATCAACGCGTTTGTATACGGGTGGCTGAACAGGCAGGTCCGCCTAGAACTCATGCGAACACTGCGCCACTACTACCGCTTCATCTGCCATCAGGAAGCAGAAGGCTCTGACATTGAGCTCCGAGCTATGGAAGAGGACAGCAAAGGGCTACAGCCGGTCGAAAACTTCTACCAGTTCCTGGAGAGGACAGCCACCCCCGACTGTCGTGCCGCCAGCAGAAACCCTAAGGAGGTGAAGTCCGAACGGGAAAACAAAACTCTGTAGACATTGAACAACAGCGGTCTGTTCAGCACCACGGAAAGGATCTCGTGCAAATTGTCCATCACGGGTTTAATACATTCCAGAGTATTTTTCATTGGTTTAAGGCCAAAGCCTTTCTCAGACGACGAAATTTCTCTCTTTGTCCAAAGTTGGGCTATCTACAATGGTGAAACGCCTTCTATAATGTTTCTTTTCTCTTTTGCCGTCTATGTGTTGTGCCTTGTTCTGTACTGGTCAAAATTGTCAAAAGGTAAATTGAATGATCGTAATATTTTGTTCAAATTGTGCCAATATAATATCAACTATCTACTTAATGTAATACATGTTTGCTTTTTGCTAACCAAACGGTCGGATCCTCTGTATTCTGGTTTACGCCGTGTTGTTACTGTAGAGCTTTTGTGGACCTACTTATTATTCATGACCCTGCGTAAGCCTGTTATATTAGCGCCAAGTCGTGAGTTGCAATTTTCGCTGATTATCTACCTAGTCGATCTAAGTGTTTCCTATTGAAATATAGAAAGAAAAGAGACCGTCAGAACATGTTCAGTGTTAGTTTCTAAGGGTATGTATATTATTAATTAATTTCGTAGCACGCATACCGTGCTGTTGCTTCAGATGGATCTGTAAGACTGTCGTGTTTTACGTGAACATTGCGGAGGTCTGTCGCTCGTATGGTGAATTGTTTACCTGTAGCTTCTGTTGTATATTTTGTGAACCTTTGTCTTATGCCTTTGTGGGCGGTGGAATAAAGTAACTGTACACTGTATCTTGTACGAGATGTGATTTATTTCTCAAGACTCATGACCGTCTGCTGATAAAATGGTTAACCAGGATCTAACATCATTTGGACAAGATTAACAACGTTTAAAATGCAGGTCAACTTTGCCCAATGAAACAAAATTGTGAGCAGAGATTCAATAACTAGTACTACAAGGAACATATTCACAAGTTAGAATCGGTCCAGAAAAGAGCGGCCAGATTCGTTTCAAATACCTATGATACTTATGCCAGCACTACCAAATTGGTCACAGATTTAGGGTGGGACACATTAAAGGACAGACGCACAGCAAGTAGACTCACATTACTCCAGAAAGCAAGACACTCAAAAACAGCCCTTCCAGTCAAAACCTTGTTGACGCCTATCCCGCGCCAATCGCGACACTTCAACTCCAACTCATACAAACCTCTAACGTTTCACAAAGACTGCTACAAATATTCATATTTTCCTCAAACTGTCAGAGATTGGAACATTTTGTCCCAAGAGATAACTGATACTGCGGAACCCACGAAGTTCAACGCTGCAGTACTACAACACCTGAGGAAACAGCAATAGCGCATCGCACAGCTCCCCTGCACGTTTTACCCCAATCTAGGGGTGTTGTGCAGAACCTGTACAAGAAGAACAAGAAGAATAATGCTTTCCCGGAATTTCCAATAAAATTAGTTTTACACGATCAGACCCCGAGCGACATTACGCATTATTGCCATTAGCTAACTTAAATGTTAATATTTGTCTTGATATGAATGGATTGATAGATAATATTATTATAACGCATTCCTTCCTTCTTTATATAAGCGCATGGGTTACGTGTGGGTAACAGTTTCTGTTAGGGAAATACTATTTAGGGGGGTGGTTAGGATACATTTTAAAGAATTGAGTCGTGTGGGGATTATCAATGATGGGATCATCTGCAAATAAAGGTCGTCGGGAAAATGAAATGAACAGGACTTGTTGGCGGGCGACTCTTAATCAGAGTTTGAATCCAATAGTGCCCCGCGAATATTTTATACTAGCGATGGCCTAAAAAGTAGCGATTCAAAGGAATTAAGGCTAGCTAATCATCATGTAGTTTAGCAACATCGTTAAGCTTCGCACAACCAAGATTGTAAAGTGTCACAGTCTAAATACTGTACATAGGAACCTTTATGTTGAAAACGGTAGCAACGGCCGGGCGTACATACTCACACAGATGCATACATGGAGGATAGTATGTTAGGCATATTGCATGCATGGTTCAAAAGAAAAGCCGCTTCGATTTGGGGTTTTCCATGTAATTTATTTGATTACATCGTACAAGGCATGTAAGATAACATTTTCATACACTTCTACATTCGCATTGACGTTAAATTTGAATGAGTTTTGCATTGATGCGTTAAGAATACCAGCGCTATACACTGAGAAAGTTTGGTTCGGTACTTAAATCAAAAGTGAATTACCGTTCGTTATCGGCGTATTTTGCCTTGACATTGCAGTCAGAGGACATTCTGCGATCAGCCGTATCCAAGCAACGATTAGCGTCATACTATTCACCCCCGCCCGAGACAGTTGAATCAAATGCTACAACCTGGAGCGAGACGTGCTGAGAGATATAATCACCCGACCTCCGTTCCTCCTTCTATCAGGGCCATACAGACGGAGCAACGAATAATCACTTGTCTAAAACGACAGGTAGAAGTCGGCAACTAACCTAGCGCTAACACAACACTATCTACAAATTAAAATTCTATTTACAAAAAATAAATTATATTTACAAATGCTTATCCTAGCTTACTAAACGTATTGCCCGCCCGTCCCGTTCTCCTTGGGCTAAAGAGAATGCGGGACAGTTGGGTGTTACGTCATTTAGATCTCTGAACTTAATAACTCCAGATTCAGTATCCACTGTGAGCGGGCAGTGAGGACTAGAAGACGCCTATCGGAATTGCACAGAACAGCAGACACAGGTTGTTTCTCACAGGAGTGAGTAATCAAGCACTTCCACAGAACCATCGTTTAAGCAATGTTTCCAACGTCGAAAGATAGATAATGACAGAGGAGACGTTGTCCAAAGTGGTTAGGGGAATCCATAGGAACATCACGTGGACCATACTACAGGGTCACGTGGAAGCAGACCTAATTTTGAGGATATGTCCATGCAGCACCCAACAACTGTTCACGGAACAAACGTTCAGACTTTAGATCTGTTTCCAGGATATTCTCTACAAACACACTTCGAGACAATTAAGTCGTGGGCGGTTGCCAACAATGCAGCCCTCGATCTTCATGGCCGCCCAGCGCAGCCTCCTCTCCTTGGCCGGGCTGGAGTGAACCTTGCGCTTGTTGGTAGACTGAGCGCTGCCAGGTGGTTAGGCAGACGCTTGGAAGCCTTCTGAAAAAGAAATATGTATCTATTAGCATTATCTTTATCGTTGGCGACAACCAGAACAAATTTTACACCATCTGTGATCTTTTAAAACAATAGATGCAAACAGGGAAAAATCAAAGGATTTATCTATAATTTTTTATACTTCATACTTCCTCGGACACGCATTGTCATGTTCAAACCCATGTTGCATGCCATCTATAGCTAGCACATCAAAAGAGTAGGTACAGGGAAATCTTTACCGAGCGATTTGTTTTCATCCATGGCCAGCATTCTTGGATGAAAATTGTCGCCGAGATAAGCCGCGGCCTCTGCTTGCCCAAGCAGTTTCCTGAAAAATCACAGAAAACAGGTTTGTTAGGGAGTCGACACCTAATATTGTACGATCTGGTTCGGAAGGTATATAGGTAACAAAAAAAGAGTGGTGTTTGATGATTTCCGGTAACTTTACACAGGTGGCTGATGACGATGATGTGAGAAAAAATTAGTTGAAATAAAGTTCATGTTAAAAATCATAGAAAGATGTTAAGATATTGATGAGGAGTTTAGAACGCATTTGAAAATGAAGCCTTGCCTAAAAAAGAGAGGCTATAAACTCTGCACATAAAATGACTTTGCAATCGGCGTGAGTTTTATTTATGGAAGGTGATTATGCTTACCCGGCCTCCTTTTTGCCCTCCTCGTGTGGGATCTGCGGCGAGGCGTCCATGTGATCCGGACGGCCCAAAGCCCTCGCGATCTGAGCAGATCGATGGAAGTCTCACAAGGCCAAGGTGGTGGTACAGATATCTCCAAGCAGATGTTGGGGTTGAAAGCTAGGAGACTTGGCCAGCAATAGGTTTCCCCGGTACGCGGAACCTCCCAGTCCCAAAGCCTTTCACCCCCAACATCTGCCTGTAGACTAGAAGCACAGGTCACTCCGTAGGAGACAACCGCCTGTTGTGATGTTCAAACCGAAAATGGCGTTTATTTAACGGCGAGATCGATAGAACGACCGGGGAATAAGTACGTTTTGGACGAACTTCCCTTCTTATTGCCCGGTCTGTCTCCATGGTTTTGGTTCGAATATTCATTATTGAACAAACAATTCGTTTCTTCATTTATTCATTCGACCTTTTTCTCTGAAACGGTTTTAAGCCTTTGTATGTATTTTAGAATCGGTAATTGCTGTACTTGGGGCAAGGTCTGATACCTTAGGGTCAAAATATTCAAAATTCGCGCGCTGCAAGTTCTACCTAGTTTGCGATGGTGTCGTGAAATCGCAACTGTCGTAAAATGTCAGCAGCACGGCTTGGTCCTCGACGTGTCTGTACCTGCGCACTGCGTCATCGTCAATATTGGGTGACAGTTCCGACGGTTTCGGTGAAAGTTTTATGGTATTTAGGTCAAGGATCGATCAAATACAAACACGGTCTTCAAGATGGAAGAACCGATGGAAGAACAGAGTGCAGAAGAGACGACAGAGAAACAAGCACTGAACTCCGAGGGTGACCAGAAGCCTGCGGAACGCAAGAAGCTCCCGTCCCTGCTCCGGCCAGTAGGTGTGTACAAATGGCTCCCATCTCTACTCAGCTCTTTGACTAACTTACATCAAATCCAACCGATCCACATGTATATACGTTCCATTAGCGCTGGTGTCTTCTTACTGAAGAATACACACAGTGGCAACAAAGACAGTTTAGCTAGAGAGGAATATGTTATGATGGTTTAAAAGCTGGAACTTAAAAAAATGGCAGGAGACTTGTTGTCACTGACTTCGCGGTAGCCAAAGATATAATTGTGGTGCCGACTTTGATTAGTTAACTTGGATCCCCTTGGGAATTATAGCAAGTTGCAACTGAAGATAACTTTACGGAATCTTTATCATTGCTTGAAGAGGGAATGACATCTTTCCTTGCTTTGAGGGTACAGTGCTGGACTTGCATCTATTATGGGCTGAACGGTGTAACAAATAATTTTGAAGATGATGGTACTAGCCCAAATATGGGGTTCCTCCTCCAAGTTTTATCTTAGCACCTCTGTTGACCTCAATATAACATGATTGACTGCAGCAAAGAGAAAGTGCTGGCAAAATTGTGCTTTCACTTTTGAAGATACTGTACAGTACTATTTAGAATACACACTGTGTTCACACTATTGTGTAACGTTAATCCAGTTTGTTTACTACAATTTGTTACACTTCAGCTGTTTAATGATGATCATGTGTTTGCAATTTTCTGGAAAGTTCTCTTTACTTTGATCATAATGACAGCCAGTGTAGTTATTGTTCCCTCTGCAGTAATGGGAGCCATCAGTATGGAGGAGTATGAGATGCAGTACTGGCCGAAGCTGGAGAATGCCATCGTACAGCTGCTAACTCAGACACCAGGGGACTACATCCCTATCTCATATGAACAGATGTACAGGTGGGTGTGCCTACAGTATAGTTGTTATAGTCTGGAGTCCAGCTTTGTGAGCAATAGTCTACTCCCAACGGTTGCTACCATACCCTGTCATTGGACTAAAGCTAACAAGACTGGGTAAGTGTCTCTCGCAGTCTTTACATACTTATTCAGAAAATCGGAATGATTATTTTTATTCCATCAACCTACACCAAATCCCAGTCTAGCATAAATAGTTTTAGCTCTTCCTAGATACATGTATTAGATTTAGAGCTGTAAAAATGACATAAATAGACAAGCTTTTAACCTCTAATTCGAAGTTGTCATCTGCTACCACATGCTGTAAAGTTAGTAATGTATGTGAGATTCAAGTTCAATCGTACAGTACACCAAAGTGCATAGAATACCAGCTGGCAATTTGCTGCAGAAGTGTGGTAATTAGACGACCTTACCACTGTACATACGATCTCTGCACTCTGTGAACTGTACACATGTCACAGCTGTTCACGTTAGTGATCTTTAAACATCCATGTTGATGTTTTCCTCTTCCCCAGCTGTGTGTACAAGTGTGTTTGTCAACAACATTCAGAGCGTATGTACAACGACCTAATGAGCCTGGTCATAGGTCACCTACAGAGAGTATCACAGGAGCTCAAGGTGGGTATAGGGGAACAATCAGTATTCATTTGGGGGATGGGTGGACTTCTGCTTTCAATGGCATTACTCAGTCTATGTCACAAAGGAATGTGCAGCTGTATGATTCTTAAAGTTTTAAGAAAAGGCAACTGATAAATTACAACAGGAGCCATTACCCTGTGAACTTTTGATATTTAAATGAAAACCCTGTTGCATAGCTTTGTATAAACATTTAAGATTC